AATGGGTTTGCCTTATTGGCAGGTGCCCTGTGTTCACAGAATCATGACGGGTTTCCTGGGGAAGTGCTCTGATAAGAGGAGGCTTTGATAGCAGCCTGATTGAATTCATTGGGTACAGGCAGATGAAAGAAAACTGGTCCTGGTAAGTCCCAGGTATTTTATAGTAAGTTTTAAATGGAAAAAAAAAGAGTGACCAGCACCAGAGAACAGATTCCCAGTAGATTTGTAATGACACTTTGTGCCTATGCGGCAAAGGACTCGGCCTGACGTTGTACCTATAACCAAACCCACATTCAAATCACAGCAGGTGATGATCTTGCTGTGTTAAAAATGCTAAATCAGTCCCTGGAGATCATGGAGCTGGTTCTAAATCACAGAAATTCCTGTGTTCTGTTGTTGACCTTCCTTTCTGAGCTCGTTCAGTCAGGACAGGTCCCTGTATCTTCACAGAGCCTGATTATGGACCAAGGGCTGATTTGAGAAGGGGACCATAAACTGGAGGTAACAAAGGTGTAAGGCAGGAGCAGTGACATCAGGCATTTTACGTCAACTGTTATTTGGGAAGTAGATTTTAATCTTTCTCTGCATTTGATAATGTACAGAGCCACGGCCCAGGAGCTTCTGGTAACTTGGGTTTCTTTCTTCACTGTGCCTGTTCCAGAGGCAGCACTGCCAGAGGAGCTCATTTCCTGACCCCCAAAGTGCCGTGTATTTGACAGCAGTTCTGCCAGTCCCTGTGTCACTCTAAACTGATGTCTCTGAGCACAGCTCTCCCCTGCCATCCATTCCTCAGGGTCATTGTTGCAGCTGTCACTGGAAAAGCCAGGGAATCTTACTTTCCTTGAGAAGGGGAGGCTCAGCTCTCACTTCTGCTGGTGAGGGCCACCCTCTGTCCCTCTGCTCCTGCCTGATGCCTGGCTTGGACTCCCTGAGTGCCGAGGAGGTGCCAAAGCTGAGGGACTTCATATGACTGGTGTTTGTGCTAGATAGGTTTGTATTCACCTGGATAAGCCAGAACATACTGCCCTTTTTGGTAGAGAAGAGGAAATAATCTGGATTTTAATATCCTGAGCAGCAGGGACCCCACCTTGCTGTACTTTAGGAACAGAACAGCTCTGTAAATCCCAAAAAGGGAAACCTCCAGGAAAGGAGACTCCTCTTGCTCTATAAAAGCAAATTCATTGCTTTGTCCTTATTTCTTTCTGCCTTTTGATTTTTGCTGTGAGGCATCTTTCCCTGCCCAGGGAAAGGAAGGTGGTAGCTCTGAAAGCCTTGTTTGTAAGGTACACACCCCGGGGCTTGCCCAGCACTCTGGGTGTGCCCAGAGTTGAGAGCCCTGAAAAGAGCATTTGAAGGGCTCAAAAGGGGCGAAAGAGAGACAATCAAAATGTATTTCTAGGGGTGTTCATCAATAAAAAATGGCAAAGACAAACA